GGCCCCGCCACCCCGGCCCGGCGCGCAGGCCGTCGAGGTGCGCGGGCCCAGCTCACCTTGGGGCCCTCGGGGGGCACGCGCGGGTCGTTCCACGTCGTGGTGCGGCTGTTGTGGTCCACGAAGAAGGGCCAGCCGGTCTGCGGGTCGATCTTGATCTCCCACCCGGGGGGCAGGGGGTCGCGGTCGCCGGCGCCGTTGCCGGACGCCATCTGCACCACGGGCGAGTGGGTGGCAGCGCTCATGCTGGGTCGGGGTCGGCCCGGAGCGGCCTGGTCGCGGGGTCGCGGGGTGCGGGCACCTCTGCGCAGCGGGAGGAGCGAGAGCCCAGCGCGCCGCCGACGTGTCCGGGAAGCCGGCGCCGGGCACCTTTATGAATTAAAGGAGGGGGTGACGTGGCCGGAGAGGGGTGGAAGAGTCTGGAAATAGCCTCCTCGCTGCCAGCGGGGAAGGAGGAGATAAAGGGAGGTAGCAACTGGCCGGCTAGAAACTTCTGGTCCCATCCACAGAAGTTGGCGGCCGTGCGGGTTGGATGCGGAGCTCCGCCCTCAGTCATCGGCTATAATCGTGGCGCGGCGCGGCGGGGCGGGGCGGGCCGGGGCGGGGCCTGGTCCTCCCGCCCTCTCCCGCGGCTCCTTCCTCCTCCTCGGAGCTGCCTGGAGCTGCCTGGCGCGGCCTGCTAAGGCACCGTGCAGCCGCCACCCGGGCGCACTCGCGCGCCTGGGGCGTCCTTGGTGCGTCCTGGCAGGTCTCGTTCTCCGGACTCCCTGCGCGCTGTTTTTGGAGCAGGCAGCCTGCGAGTTCTTTTGTATAAGAATGAAATTATCTTTAAAGTTAGGGAGTCGCGCCTACACCCTTGACCCCATGACGTCTATTCGGGAACTCTGGCGGCCCTTGCTTGCATTTCAGTCCCTTTCTTCCGAAGGCATGAGGGCTGTCCAGGAGGAGCTCAGTAGCGCTAACCTGACACCATAACGAGCCCGGGAGAAAATGGAAGTGCAGTGGAAACTCACCTGCCTGCCTGTGGAAACCTAAAAAACAAAACGAGAGATTGCATAAGCGGATGGTTTCGTTCTTCTTTGAACCTCATATCAAGAATACAGAAATTTTCACTGCAGTGAACAACTTTAAAGGAAAAAAATCACATTCTTTGGGTAGAGTTTGATTCTTCTTGTCTTAAATCGAGGCTCTCATTTGGAAAGCAAGGACCAAACCAAACTATGAAATGTTTTTTTTGGTTGATTCAACGACGATTGCGCTTGTAACCTCAGTGAACACCGCGATTACCCATTGTGCTCCAGAAAGAATGATTGGGAGGTTCCAATTCAGATCCTTAGGTTTGCCAACTCATTCCTCTCCCTCAGAAACACCTGTGCTAGTATTGGCCTGTTTTCAAACTTAGATTTAGAGGATACTGTGGGGTAAGGGACACTAGTACCTACCTGTTAACCCCAGCTATTAGGGAAGCTGAGACAGGAGAATCTCAAGATCCAGGCCAGCCTGGGCAACATACAGAGATCCTGTCTCAAAAGCAGAAACAAAATACAAAACAAAATAAACCAGATTATTTTGGAACCTTCAGACTCCTCTTGCCTCTTCCTGCTCTCGGATTATTTCTTCTGGAGCAAATGCTAGAGAGGTGTGCCAATCATTTCCCATGGGATGATTCGTACTTATAAAGGTCATATCAGCTTTGAGGTTCAAAAACTCAGTACTGTAAAAGTACGGAGATGATTAAGCTCTGGCAACCAACTAAGGTCCCAAACACACGCGGGACTGATGGATAAGCCTAAATGCCAGCACCTTAATTTATCATCAGAAATATTACTGTTGAAGGGACTAGACTTTCAAGTTCACTGGTCAGGGTCTGCCTGTGCTTCCTTGTATCACAGACCTAAGCACAGTCCATATTCAATAAAGGTTGATTGACTAAAGATTAATTAAAAAGTAGGGCTGGGGATTTAGCTCAGTGGCAAAGCGCCTGCCTGGCAAGCGCAAATTCGTGAGTTCGGTTCCCAGTACCGGAGAAAAACCAAAAAAAAAAAAAAAAAAAAAAAAAATTAATTGAAAAGTAAAATTTTCTATCGTCTTCCTTTGCCCTGTTTGCTTTCCAATCCAACTACAATCTAAACACTGAGAGCACTTTTTTGCTGCCCCTCCTCCCACCCACCCCCCTACCTGCTGGACTCAGGCAGGGGAAGCAGTTTCCTCTGGGATCCACAGAGCTGCTTCTGATGGTTGTGTGGGACTCCACTGGGACTTCAGATAGGCTTCTCTGCAACAGAGCCATGAGCTTGGGAGAGCTGGCTGGAAGAAGCTCCTTCAAGCCTGTGGAGAAGGACATTCTTTGATTGGAATGCATTGAGGACACAATGATTTGTTTATTATTTGTTAGAGTTTCTTAAAATAAAGCTTCATTATACAGCCCGATTAGCCTTGAGTTTACAGTCCTCCTGTCTCAGCCTCTTGAGTGCTGGGATTACAGGCGTGTGTTGGATTACATGTGGAGAAGGATAATCCTTTAATTATCCTTGCTAAACCGTTTGGTATCCGTCCATTTGTACTAGCTACGCCCTTGGTTCTAGCTCAATAAAAGGTGACTGAAACTGGTATTCAAGGCTGCAGTCCAAGAGGCTGTAAGCCCCCTGATCCCAGACTTTTGCTTCTCTCGTTTTTCTTGTCTCTCTTTACTTTTCTTGTTCATCCGTGGGTACCCCGTTCTCAGGACCTGTCACTTTAAATAGAAGAACAGAAGCCATGCTGAATAATGAGTAGCATATCTGACCTTGATGACTTCCTTTTTTCTCTTGGTCTCAAGGTACTTGTTCCACGGGCCTGGAGTTCCTTGGACTAGGTCAAAACTCAAGTGTGACCTTGGGCTCCCGTTCTTTTTCACCATCTAATCCTCACCACCTCCTAAATACTCCTGGACTCTGTGCATCCTCGTCTGTCTGTTCAGGCCACTCTCAGCTCTCATCTGGACCTTGCACAGTCTCCTAATGGGTCTCTAGTTTTGTGCGTCTCTAATCCCTTGCCCTCATGGTAGCCAAAGTGGCCCTTTTCAAGCACAATATGGACTTTGTCCCTTCTCTGGTTAGAATCCCTTAATGCCTCCCGTTGTCCTCTCCGTACCCAGGTCCGCACTTGTCGGCCTGGTGCACACAGACCCTTCCTCCCTCACCTTGGTGCATGTTCCGGCTGGCCCTGTGAACTCCATCACACACTGCTTCCTCCGCCCAGATAGCCCTCTCTTCCCACCTGAACCACTTCTACCCCTTGGCCCGTGACTCCTCTTCCTCCTCAGGCATTAGCTCTGGCATCACTCTTCTTCATCCCAGTCTGGTCATGTGACCTCTAGGTGCTTCCATTCATACCCTATGCCACTCTGTCCATTGCATTGCATTGTAATTGTTTGTGTGATTTGCTCGTGAATTGGGTTTCTTGGGGGAAGGAGCAGAATCTTGGTCATTCTTCTGTCTCCAGCCTCAAGCACAGTACCTGATAAATAATCGTTATTCAAGCAACAATAACAAGTGCAATGATTACCATTTTTTTGAACAATTATGATACGCCATATGTTGAGGGCCTTAGGTAGATTATCACGGATAATCTGGTGGAAACTGTGCAGATCTTCTTCCAGAAATGAGGGTCTTATTTGATCCTGGGCTGGGAATGCTGTAGGAAGAGATCAAGACCTCATCTCATTTATCAGCCCAGCAACCCTAGGAGGCATGGGTTTTTGTTCAGAGATGTTTAGTAACTTGTCAGAGTTCACATAGACCAATCTCAGCTGTCCTTGGTGGATTGGCTTGGCTGAGGAAGCTGCCTTGACCAGGTCATGCTTCCTTCCAGGGACTGAACCTCTGAGGGACACAGGGTCCCTCTCTTAGTCCAACTCAGGATAGGACCAATGGGCCATAGCAGCTCCAGAGCACCCTCTGGGGGGGTGGCTACTGTTTTCTTCGAGAGTGCGTCAAAGCACAACTCCTTTTACAGATGGAGCAATTGAGGTTCAGAGATCCAGTTTACACTATTAACTGCATACTCAATACGTATAATTAGTGAATCAATGATTTAGTCGGGCTAGCAGCAAAGGAAAAATGTAAAAAGCTGCAACTGAGAAACAGAACTGGGGACACATGATTTTTCCTCAATGTTGAGGAAACAAGCAGCAGCCAGCTGCTATGGAAGATTATAAATCAGCCCTATCAATGATGTGTCCAAGTGAGGCTGACTCATAATACAGGTCACAGATAGGAAACTCAAGCTGAATTATGATAGTGAGTTTTAGATGAAACTGTCACCCAAAAGATTTTGATGTCTGGATGATTTAATCCATTTCTAATGGAACATGAGCTGGCATAGGAGAACAGCCAGTTCTCTCTGATCTATGCAAAACACTGATGTATGCAAAATCCAAGTAGATTTTGTTTGTATTGGGGACATTATTAGAGATTAGCTCATGCAGCCATGTACACTTTCCCAACCGTCGTCTCCCAGGGGACTTCCAGAGCAGGAAGCCTTGATGAGAGGGACCAAGGCTCCAGCAAGGGATATCTGGACGGCCGGGCAGAGGGGCCACAAGCAGTAGGTGTTAACACAGAGGGCAAGAGATGTCTGCGCTGGCTACGCTATGGAGACACCAATGATAAGTTCTATAAATACACCCTGGTGGAGGTGGAGGCGGAAAATCAATATGGCTTAGCTGCAGTGTTTCAGATTGCAGCAATAACTTTGCATCTGTTTGTCGTTAAAAGCTAAAGTCTGTGTGTGCTTGAGGCCAGCTGGCTTGTGCTCTCTGACCCTGTGTGGCAGGTACATCCTGTAACAAGCACCTGGACCTTTAATCATAAACTACGCTGTTTTACTCTTTAACTGCCTGCCTTCTTTCCCAAAAGGAAGGTGGGAGTCATGGAACTTTTTTTGTTGTTGAGACAGGAAAGAAGAAGGGGTGGGGGTGAAAGTAATGGGGTGCCAGCCAGGAGAGAGCTGAGCAAGCAGCAGGGCCAGGAAGCTGGATGAGTAGGAGTCACACCTGGCAGGGCGCTGATCTTCAGGGCACAATGGGACAGAACTCATGGGGTGTGACTCTGCTTGCTGCTGGGGGTGGGGTACAGGGCTGTGCAGGTGTGGTCCACAGCCCTTGGACATGCAAAAACTGTTTTTGCCCCCCCCCCCCAACGCCTCCCAGACACTCTCAGGACCTTTAGACAGAAGCACAAAGGCACAGGAAAGGCAACCCAGCTGGGATTTCAGGGACATAACATGGAAAAATAACTGCCTCCCCCAACCCCCAAGCTCCAGACCCATTGCTCGTCAGTCTATACCCCTCACTACCATTAGCCAATCTAAAAAAGAAAAAAAAAAAATCAGGCATCCTGCTGATGGTCAGGACCCATCTCATTTATCTGCCTGGTAGCCCTAGGAGATATGGCTGTTATGAAGCTCACTGTACAGATGAGAATCAGGCTTAGAGATGCTGAATAACTTGACCAAGTTCACCTAGCTGACCTGCAGGTAGTGCCAA